CAGGCATGACTACCAGCCCAGCCCTGCACCCGTCTCCAGGGGCTGCTCACAAATACAGGCTGAGACGTTTGGGGCCGGGCAGGCCTGGGGATCTGCATTGCACTCTCCGGTGAGTGTACTGCCATTGTCTGTGAAGTTCGCTTAGAGAGAAGCTGCGTTTCTGTGTCTGGCTGTGCACCAGCCCCAGGAATGGAGGCCCCAGGAGGAGGCTGGCCTGTCCTCACGCTTGCCCACTTCCCTGCGAAGCTTGGTCCAGCGGCCCAGGATGCAGGGGCTTCCTGGATGGTCTTCCTGGATGGTCGCACTGAGGGCCTGCTCCAGGCAAAGACCCTGCCATGCAGATCCTGCCACCCTGGGGGTGACGCCAGTCTCACCCTGGCTGCTGGGCCTCCCTCTGAGGATCCGCTGTCGCTCTCAGAGTTCCCCTTCCTCCGGCTGGTCTGATGGCTTAGCAAGGCCAACTGCCTCCCTTACGGCTCCATCGTGGCAGGTTCTGTGGCCGGGATACTGTCCAGAAGGGAGACACCCCGATGTGTTCCTCTCATCCCCACTCTGGAGTGATTTCTCCCGAGAAGGAACCAAGTCCCCGCCCGGTGCTGGCTCTGAGCCCCGGGGCGCGTCTGTTTCCTGCTCACATATGTTGTGTCCGGGACGCGCCCCACAGAGGCAGCACAGGGAGATCTGCTGGCCGTCGGGACCGCTCACAGCCCATCCCTGTCCTTCTCCCCATGCCCACCGGGCCCCTCCTTCCTCCCCCGATGGACCCTTCACTAGCCCTGGGCATCACCCCACATTCCACTGGGGCTCTGACCTGACATTTCCAGGGCTGACCCCGAGTCTGGGTCCAGCTTTGCTTCTGCTCTGTCCAGACAGCGAGCGTGGGGTGGTACCTAGGAAAACACAGCCCTGAGCCCCACGGGCCTGGCCCCAAGTCAGCTGGCACAGAGCCGCCCTTATCACCCTTTCCAGTGTCATGCAGGCTGGGGACACCTGTCGCCCTCAAGGCTGATGTCTTAGAGAGACCCCCCCCCCCACCAACTGCATGGCAAGAGCGACCTCACAGAACATGATTTAGGGTCAACCATTTCTGCGGGTAACCAGTTTCCACAGCTCCTGACTCAAGATCAATTTGCTCTGAGCTGACTGAGCCGAGCATGAGATGTTACCACTTAGGGAAAATGTTTAGAAAAAGAAGATGCAAGTCAGTGCAAAATCAGTCCTGCCAAAGCTGCCACATTCCTGGTTCCTTCCCTGAATTCCGGGTACAGATTCTGCTCCCTGACCATGGCCAGCTGATGCTGAGACACAGCTCTGATGTGACAGGCAAACAGAACAATTGTCCAGCAGACACACACTGGAGGGAGCCCTCAGGGCCCCCATAAAAGAGGGGTTGCGACTTTTGAGTTGGATGGAAAAGTACCAGAGTCCCCCATTCCTACAGTGAGTCATGTAGCAGAACAGGTCGTGCTTGGACGTGGCTCCCACTGAGTTAGAAATCCTGTGACAGCTGCTTTACTGTTGGAGCAGAATGTCCCCTATCTTCTTCCGGCCATGCACGCCATTAATCCAGAGGCTGATGAGAACTTGGGAGACGGCCACCAGTGTGGGAACATCAGTACAAAGCCACGTATGTAGCCTCTTGTAGGCGAGTGGAGGTCAAAGCCAGTTACAAGTAAACCCTCTGGCCTTGCTCTTGTCACTGTCGACTTAAAAAAAAATGCACAACGTGAGAGTTGCGAGTAACTTTTATCTGGGGCAAAATGAGGACTCTAGCCCTGGAGACAGCACTTCAGAGAGCTCTGAGGAACTGCTCCCAAGAGGTAGGGGGGGAGGTCAGTACAGATGTGATTTTGGTGAAGGGGGAGTACGCGCAATCAAGCACATATTTTTTGCAGAGGTTTCCGCTAGTCCCGAGGAGCAGACGTCACCATGAAGGATTTTAGTGCTTCTCTAGATACAAGAATTGGGCTCATAAAATCTGCTCCTGAAAATATCTGAACCATCTGATGGCCTGTGCTGCCAGTTCCTCCCAGAGCACAGAGGGCCTCCTTCCTGCTCTCCGCCCTGAGCTCCTTTCAGGGGGTGCTGAAGGTCTGCAGCTGCAGCGGTTCAGGATTTGATCCTTGTAGAGGCAGATGGCAAGTGCCAATTTGTAGGTGACATCACCCAGTGTACTCCCCCATTTCACGTCCACCGAACCCCCAGATGGCGACATCTGGAAATAGAGCCTTTGCAGATGTAGTCAGTTAAGATGAGGTCGTACTGGAGTAGCCTGGCCCCTTAAGCCAATGGCTGGTGCGCTTGTAAGAAGAGAAGAGACACACACACAGGGAAAAGCCATGGCATGGACGCAGGAATAGGAGGGGTGCAGCTGCGAGATAAAGAGTGTCCAGGATTCTGGCCATCACAGGAGCTGGAAGAGGCAGGAAGGACCCTCCCCTAGAGCCTCAGAGGGAGAACAGCCCTGCAGACATTGATTTAGGACTCCTGGACTCCGAAACTATGAGACAGTAACCTTCTGTTGCTTTCAGCCCCTCAGTTTGTGATGCTCTGTTACAGCAGCCATGGGAAGCTAAGGCATCCAGACGCTGCCCATGCGGTTGGGTGCAGTCACTTTAATTACAGGGACATCTGGCGGGGGGGGAGCCTCCCAGGTCACAGCCAGGAAGGAAAATCCCACGATGAGCAGGTGCTTCTGGGCAGAGCCTGGGTGTCCACTCATGCCCTTGGGATGGTAGCTACTGGGGCATCCAGGGGCCAGGGGCCAGATCCCGCCCTGGCTCTGGGCTCTCTCACCAGAGCCGCTCATCTCCTGCCCTGGAGACCTGGGCGGGCTTTGACGTTCCAAGGTACATGTCAAGAGCAGGTGCCTTGTGTCCGGGCACCCACTGATAAACTTGCTCTCTGAGTGGTGGCCAGATGGCCTTAGGTGGCCACGATGTCAGGGGTTTCCCTTAGGAAGTGCAGAGAACTGCAGATGTGCAAATCCACACTTGCGGTAAGTTCAGGGTCAGGTGATTACTTTGCGAAGCCCTCAGCTCTGGGAGTATTCACAGTACTCGGCCCCTGCCCCAGATGCAATTTAAAGATGCACTAAACTCTAAGATGGGGGCTCTGATCTTGCCCCCAGCGAAGGTTTGGATACATTTTTTCCCAAAAAATCAAACAGCCAATTATTCCACAGTGTTTTCGCAGTCTTTCTGGAGTCCCTGCTTTGAGCATCCCCCAGCCACCATGAGTCTGCCCTTTGAGAGACCAGGCACTGGACGCGGGAAGAGGAGGCCCCAGACCGACAGAAAGGACTGTGCAGGTGCCGCTGCCCAGGGCAGGGACTGTTCTGGAAGGCCTGGAGGCTGGTGGCACGCCTGGAAGAGCCCTAAGTTCTCAGTGGGTCCCAGGTAGAAGCAGGCCTCGCCTCAGTCTGCAGTGCCAGGGGCCAGCAGGCTGGGGAACACAAGGGGCGTCACAGAGAGTTCTGGAGAGTGGAGGCTGGCAGTGCCCCATGGCCCCTCTGTGGCAAGCCTACCAGGCAGTCCTCAGCCAGAGCGGCTGGGTTTGGCCTGTTGGTGGTGGCCCCAGGATGGAGGGGTCATCAGCGAGAGTTTGTGCAGGGCTGAACAGGGCTGGGGCCGCGAGGGTGTCAGACTGAGTCCTGGACAGGGGTCTGACCAGCAGAGACGTGTCCATATTGAGCACAGAGCAGCCCAGGCCCAACCCCTCATGGTGGGGGAGGGGTGTCAGGCCACCGGGCGAGCTGTTGGAGGGCTGTGCCCCTAACTTAGGGAGGTTTTGCCCTTGAATAAGGCTTATTTTCATTCACGCCAACTCACGCTGAGCCTTGAGCAGAAAACAAGCTGCCAAGAGGCTCCAGTTAGGGGATGTAGGGCCCTCGTCCATCCCCAGCTTCCTTTCCTCCCCCCAACGTGGGCTCCCAAAGCCTCAATGAGCCAGCTCCCCACTGAGGTTTACAATCGCTTTGATGGATCCCAAGCTGGAAAGCCTTTGCTCTCCTCCTTTCAGGAATGTGGACGCTGTAATATCAGCCAAAATAGAAAAAAAGAAGGACGGCGTTGCCCGTGTTCCCTCTGCTGCAGCTTGTACTATCACCAAGGAAGGAGCTAGCGCCATTGCAAGAATTATTAAGATGCTAAGAAAGTAAGCTGCTAAGAAAATGCATTTAGGTGTAAGAAAATGAAAGGGCCTTGGTTTTCTTTGCCAAAGCGATTATGCAGAGGGAATAAAACGTGATGTCATGACTATAACCTTCCCGCTAAATATTTCTTGTCCAGCCACGGCATAAGGATGGTTTGAATGGAGCAGGAAAGCAAGCCGAGTACAGAGACCAGACGGCAGCCTGGAATATTTTAAAGGACCACGGGTGTGTGCTTGACCATTCCTGTATCTTTTCAGAGCGTGCTCGATATCACCAGGGAAGAGCTGACGGTCACGACAAAGCCACTGCTGCAAGGGCAGAATTGCTAGAAAACATGGTTCCATGAAGGCCGAATCACTAAGCTCTGCGGGACCTTATGTCTATTGGCTTCTGGGGAAACGGGTAAAAGCCATGAGCTCACTCGGTGTGTGCTACTTTTTCATTACCCTTTGGAAGCAGCACATGCCCTGCGTGTGGCAGTGGAAGAGCCTCATGTCACAGGAGGTGACTGAATAAGGGAGCAGGCCGCCAGGCAGGAGCCTCGGTCACGGCCGCCTCTGCCTCCTCTCTTCTCAGCACTTGCTCATTTTGGCAGGAGTCCCTGTTTCTACGATAGGCCTGGGCCAGTGGCCGTGGCTGAATGGGGGCAGGTCTGCGTGGAGCGCACGGGCCAGGCCTCCAGCTCCGGAGTGGAGCCCTCAGAGGTCAGAGTGCCGACCCGCGCGTAAAGCAGTTTCCATCCTACACACTTTATCAATCAGCGTCACAAAACCCATAAGAACAGTTTTTAAATGTAAGACTTGACCCCTTGAGCTGTAAATAAACATGAAAACATTCCGCTCCTTACCTACTTACTTAGCACCGGCTCAAGTGATGCTGTGATTTTTCAGAGATGTCTTCCCACAATTCACCAGCTTTGTTTTTCTTTTTGTCCACGATAACGTCTCGAGAGGTAAATGGATCTGAATTCATTCTGCATTTTCAGCATGGACTCTTTTTATTTCTCCCTTTAAAAAAAAAAAAAAAAACAATGAACTGTGCACTATAAATAAGGAGAAATGAAGTACCTTTTTTCATGATGATAATGCTTAAACCTATTTCCCCCGATGAAACTCATGGTAATACACAAGCTCCGTTATAAATACATTTCTCATGCTTTATGCAACTGGTTCTAAAGTTACAATATTTACAATGCACAAATACAAATTCCATCATTAATTCACGGGTTAGTTCAGTTACCCAAGAAATGGTGCAAACACAAACAGAAGTAATGGGAAGGCGGAGCCAGATGCCGGCCCCCCGGGACCCACTGGCGAAGGGAGTGGAGGCCGGGTTGCCGAATGGTGCCTCCATGTAGGTGTGGAGGGGCTGCGCCTCTCGGCCCGGCCTGCCTTCCCCCACACTGGGACTCTGCAGTCAGCACAGATGGCACCCACCTCCTCGTGCTGCTGCTGTCCCACTGGGAGAAGGGCAGTGAGGTCCCAGCAGCCAGGCCCCTGGGCACAGAGGTGGAGAGAAGGAGGGGGACCGAAAGGGCAAAGGAAGGCGCCGTTAAGTCCCCTGCGAGCCCCTAGGTTCTCAGCCCGAGCCATCCTTCTGTAACTGGCAGAGGCTTCCTTATCAGGCTCGTGTGGTCCAGCAGCACCCAGCACATCACTGGCCTGACTGTCCACATCCACTCCCGGGGCTGAACGTGGAGGCCACGGCCAGACTCTCTGCCAGGCCCGGGAGGTGCCCACCGGGCCGCTCCGAGCATTCCTTCTACTCAGAGACCCTCCAAGCAGGATAGACCCTGGCCCCCAGCCCCGGAGACTGCAGATGCATCCAGGGGACCAGGGTCCGCAGAACCTCCCACAGACCCGTGGGCTTCGGTGCCAGTGCTTTGCTGAGTGCATTCCTGCCCCCTCTGTGCCGTGGTTCCCTGTGGAAGGCTCCAGGCCTCCACTAGCCACGTGTGGAAAGGAGGGGGGAGTGAGGCAGGAGGGAAGACCGGGGAGGCAGGAGTGACGATAAAGTGCTTCTAACGGTGCCTGTTACCCAGTCAACAAGGTCGCTGCCGCCCCTCTTGGCAGTCTGGCCCCGCTCCTCTGCTGGGGGCTGGGATAATCTCAGATGGCTTTTCTATTTTTGACCAATGACAATGACTCTCTGAAGGCCGGCTTGCCGTTCTGAGGTCCTGTTTTGAAGCCTGGGAACCCCCTTTTCTCGGTCTCAGCTTCTCCTCCCGGCGGCCGGGCGTCTGTCACTACCCAGCCCGGCTTCGTGATGCAAACGTGGCCGTTTCCGTGCTGCGTCCCCAGAGTCAGTCGCCTGGGGAGGAGAATACCTGCCTGGTGCTCAGGGTGCAGGCCCTTAATTAGACTTAACACTGTCAGCTCCGAAGCCGGGTGAATTCCTGGGACGCGTGGGACCATCTGCACACACACAGTGCACGTGCGCGCTGGCATGTCCGCCTGCTGTAACTGTGGCCAGTGCTTCTTGGGGAGGAGTGAGTAAAGTAGAGGAGGATCCCAAAGGCCACCGCCTAGTCCCACACGTGTATGAGGGCCTTGCTCTGTGCCGGACGCTCTGACAGACCTCATGTGGTGAGGACCCAAGTTCACGGTCACCAGCCTGCAGGCCTCCCTGATTTTGGGGGGAGGTAAAGGGTCAGGACAATAATTAGCCCAAGGACGGCCACGGAGCAGTTCTGCCAGGACAGACAGAGGCCACAAAGCATATTCTAAGTATTTATTTGCAAGTTAAAAATCAACCTATCAAATTATACTGTAATATATCCATCTTCCTACCTTGACAAGTGTACCTCATATGACAGCACTGAAAAATACGTGTAAATCTGTGGTTTGTATATTACTGAAAGGTGGCGAAATAGCAAAGGTGACTGAATTGGTTCCCGTTACGTGTGGCTGACAGCTCTGTTGGTTGCCTGGTGAGGTCGAGTGAATAATAAAATAGGGACATACGAATCCCATAAACAAAATCCATAAAACAGTGTTGCTTGCTTTCATTCCTGCAAACTTTCTAATTATTACGTTACTTCAAGAGTTTTTAGAACTGTGTACTTTTGACAGGAATATTATAGAACTAAAAATAAAATTCGATGACATTCAGAATGTAAGAAAATGAATTTTATCAAAAATTAAATATTAATTTTCAAAAGAGTAAAACGATTGTACATATTTTAACAATTTTCTCAAAACAGTAAGATATCCAAAACACAAAATACAAATTGTGATTTGTATTACTGAATAGCAACTATTAAGAAAAAAATTATTCAAAACATCTGGATTTTTAAACTTTTCACTTTGACATTTTAGGTCAATCTTGTCAAACGACCTTTATAAACAATAAACTCACCACAAGCCTGGCATTCAACCTCCAGAGCAGCGTGCCTCAGTTTCCAGGAAGAAGCCTAGGTTCTCACGCCCACAGGCCCCTCCCCACTCTGACAGCCCCCTCGGTTGCCAGCCCACCTCAGAGCAGGGGACAGACACCCAGATGTCCTTCCCACGGGCTCCCGGGGTCCATCCCTCTTACAGGTGGGAGCATCCCTGTAGAGAGTGGATGAACTGGGATGATGCTGGGACAGCTCAAAGGAGACATGTCACCCCCCGTTCACGCAGCACACCTGCCGAGGACGAACTAAGGGGGGCGGGTTGCCAACAGCTGGAGAGTCACGACCTGGGAACAAAGGGAATCAGTGCCCCACGTGCTTCCTCCCTGACCCACCCCTGTGACCTCCAACCCCACCCGCCCCCCGAGATGGGAGGCTTCTGCTTAGGGGGAGGATGGCAATGGCAGGTGTTCCACTCTTCCGGGGGAGTTTTCACAGGCAGCAAGTGGTGTGCTTAAGCTTTAAGCCATTCCATTTCATTTTCCTTTTGGCTAAGTTCCCATTTTCAAAAGCAGCAAAAAGCCTTTCCAAGGGTTTACCAGAAATGGCTGGGTTTCCCTCCAGGGGCTGTGCAGGCAGCTTCCCACCCGGGGGTGAGCGGGGAGCAGAGGGCCCTCCAGCCAGGGCAGCTCCACAGGCCTGGTCCCCGCTCCAGTGACCAGGGGCAGGGGGCTCACACCCCCATTCCCCAGGTTGTCCTGCCAAGGGGGCGCCCTGGGGACCAGTGGGAGGGAAGGAAGGTCCCCAGCAGTCCCCCGGGTTTGGGGTCCGAGCCTCTTCCCTCAAACTGGCCTGCAGCTGCTCACGCAGCCCTCTGGGCGCCCCCTCTGAGCTCCCGGCTCATTTCAGGCTGTCCCATGCCCCTGCCTGTCTCCAGCCTGGAAGGCCACGGCGGCCCTGAGTTCTCTGCCCCAGCGCCGTCGCCACCTCAGTCCTGAACATGTAAACAGACCCCCCTACGGCTGGGCTGGTATCCCCCGACCAGCACCCCTGGCACTGACACCCCAGCTCCTCCCTACGGCCTGCAAACTCCCACAGGCTGTGCCCCAACACCCGGGGCCCCTGCAGCCCAGCCGGGCCTCCCTCCCAGCCCATTGGGGACTGGCCTGCGTCCAAGCTTCCTGGGAACACGCACAGAGGGCCGAATGGCTCCGCGGTGTCCGTGATCCCCCCGCCGGCTCCCGGCAGAGCTGTCCCAGCTCCCTTCTCGGGGAGACTCCCACACACATTTTGAACCATATCTCCAGGGAGGCCGGAGCCCAGACCCAGCACGCACGTGACCTTGAACAAGGGCTACCCAGTTCTGGGTTCCTGAGCCCTGTGGGGCAAGTGTAGAGGCAGGGTGGGGTGCCGGGGGACCCCCTCAGGGGTGACGCTCTGGGACCACACGCCCATTGGTCCCTGTGCCCCACAGACTGGACCGGTCATGTGTGTTCGCAGCCCCAGGAATGCGTGTGTCGGGTGCAGTCCACAGCCTGAACCACTTTGGAGGGCGAATCCTACGAGGACGCCCATAAGGCAGTGCCCATGACCCCACGCAGGCTGGACGGGAGCTCCAGAGCGAAGGAGGCTGGAGCCAGGCTCAGCCCTGAGTCCTCATCTGTCTGTGCAGTTGTCACGAGCAGAGGGAAGAAGCTTCCAGACCCTGACAGATGAGGCCGAGGTCAGGGCTGAGTCCCCGCAAAGAGGGTGTTCATGGCACAGGAGACAGAGCGGGCCCTACATCAGCGGCGATGCGGCTGTGAATCGCCCGCTGGGTCTCGGCGTCGTCCGTGAGGATGCGGCACTTCTCTCCCCGTGAGTCCTCCCGAGGCCGACTGCCCGCCTCGGTCAGAGTCCTCACTGTGGGGTGCTGTGAGCTTCTCTGGCAGCATCTCCAGAATCAGTGAGAAGGTCCTTCCCCTTGGGCATCAAGAAGACGATGTGGGCTCCTGCCGCCCTGGCTGGGACGATTCCTCCGCCAGCCGTGAGTGCATCCGGCTGCATTCAGCAGGACGCAGCGGCCTCGAAAGCCCCCCTCGGCTGCAGGGGGTGACTTCTCCTTCCAGCCCCAGGTCCTTCCAGGGAAGCTGCACGTTCTCAGCTGTTGACCTGGGTGGATCCGCGGGGCAGCCCTGCAACATTTATGTTGCTGCTGTTTCTCCGGAGCATCCTGCACAGGCAGCCCTGCAGCCTTGGCGGGAACCAGCTCCACGAGGGCGGGGCCAGAGCAGACCCAGCTGGTGGGAGAGTAGGAAAGACCCCTGCTTCCGCCTGGGGACCCTGTGCTCTCACCCACCCAGGGGCCCCTCAGCATGAAACCCGCTGAACTTGGCTAGAGCACCGCCCCTTCCACATCCGCCCACGCACGTGGAAGACCCACCCAACACAGCGGCGGGCACTGGTGCATCTGAGAGAGCAGAGATCACTCCCCGGGGGACAGCCCCGGGGAGCAGAGGCTCAACAGTGGGGGCCCCTCGCTCACCACCCAGAGCAGGGCCTTTCCCCTCCCAGCCCAGGGCCCGGCCCCTCTCTCCTGCAGGACCCCACCTGCCCCTTGGGCCCCCATCTCAACTCTGTCCCCCAGGCCCCCGAACACCCTTCCTAGGCGCCCTTTCCGGCCCCTCCAGGCAT